AAACCATTAATTTTATCCCCTTTATACAGTTCTGTAAAAAATTCCCAGAAAGCCTTTTGAATCTCTTCCTGTTGAAACACCTCCTTCCCTCTGTAAATCAGTTTAGATATATTTCGAGTTTTCCTTTTTTTCCTAATCTGATAAACTAACCATCTGCCATCTTTTTGGCTTTTAAAAGCCTCCCAAACTCTCCTTACAAACATCACTACCCAATCACTCTAGGGCAGGGGTGTCAAACTCAAGGCCTATGAGCTGGATCTGGCTTGAGGAGAGCTTAGATCCGGACCGCAGGGCACCCTGGAAATAGCACAGGACCGTCCTGCGGTGCCTCTGCCAGCAAAATTGGAGCTCAGGCTCCCAGGCTACATTTTCGTTGGCAGAGATCTAGCAAAACAAACTAAAAGCAAAACAAAACAAAAGGAGAAATGTTTGTCTTTTTGCCCTTGAGCATCCAAAAAGGGACTGAAAAGGAGAAAGAGAGAGGAAAGACTAAAAAGAAGAAGGAAAGATGAGAAGAGAGCAAGGAAGGAAAAATAAGGAAAAAGGGGAAGGAGAAAGAAAGGAAAAGGAAGAGGGAGGGGAAAAGAAGAAAAGGAAAGGAGGGAAGTAGTGAGGTAGGGAGGTAGGGAGATTATAGTGAAAGAGAGGAAGGGTCTGAGGGAAGTCCTACCTTAGCATCTGGCGATCACAGGTGCCCCTGACATAAGTTATATTGAGGTGGCCATGCCCCCTGGCCACGCCCTCATCCCCTGAGGTCAAATAACAACCCTGATGCAGCCCTCCATGAAATTGTGCTTGACATCCCTGCTCTAGGGCATGCTAGAAACCACAAATGGAATGGTAAGCACATATGAGTTACACAGTATGTATTGCTCATCCCTGTCTTGAATTGATAAGCTCAACATAAATCACTAAATAAGTCAAAGGAATTCAACATATCTTGCTTGAAAATAAACCTGGATGTTCTTGATATACCTGAAAATCTGAAGCATTGTTCTGAGGACCAACATTGAAGGAAGAGCCATTGAATAAAGAAGAATTCAAGGATGAAACTCCAAGCGCCAAGTTTCGGGTTGAGATGCTCATGGAAGGACCTATAAACTGAATCTTCAATGCCAAGGCATCAATTGTCTTTATAGCTCTAAAATCAAGCATACACATCAAAATCATTAAAATAATGGGATTAAAAATAACTTTTGAGTCTAAAGAACATTTGCATGCATTAGTAAATATTATTTTTGGCATAGATTTACCTAACTATAAAGAAAAAAACCAAACTTCAAAATATTCAGATATTCGTGAGCAAATTTTACTGAAGAACAATGTGTCCAAAATGATAGAAAGAGATCAAAAGTCATATACAGATCATCCTCTTTCTTTGCTCTATTCTTTGTCCTGCTGGAGGAAGAAAAATCTGCTTCTTTCTCAGTTTCCTTTTTTAAATTAGAATGGTGGTATTTTGAATATATGTTTTTTTTAACATAGATTATGATGTTCCTTGTTGCTTTTAGGCCTAGTCCTATTTTTTTATTTTGCTCATAGTGATGGGTAAATGCTGCCATAACTGATAGATACTGGAGAGATATCCAGGGCTCTTGATAGTTGTTGCCCCCACAATTATAGCTACTCACAAAAACAGTTGTATCCCATTTATTAGCACGGCCAGCATGGGAGATAATTTGCAAAAGCTTTATTGGGCACTATAATTTCTATTCTACTGCCATACTGGGAGACATGATTGCTCCAAACAAATGCACCTCTTTTCTGGGCATCTGTTCCTTTGGATTACATTTGCAATTAAGAGTTAATTGATGTTACTTAAGCTAACGAGTTACAGTAATTTGATTCAATGAAACACTTCTTTGCTTGTATCTAATACTAGTGAATGTTATTAGTGTCACTAACATGTCCTGTCTCACTTACATTTTATCTACCTTTCACTTTGACTTATTTTAATTATTATGATCCTAGAGCAAAACTGATTTAGTGTTAAAATAGTAGATTTACTATCAAGCCCATGAATTGAGAAGTTAAGAAAGTTAAAATTAGATTTCATTTCTTTATTGATTTGAATAATTCACTTGAGGAGTTAATTTTAAAATGCAGATAAAGTTTTACACTGTTTCTACGTCCTACCAATATATAAACATTTTTTTAAAAAAACTCTGCATACCACTCAGATCCACTTCCCGTAACACTTACTCAGAAGATGATGCAGCCAATACATTATCAGAACTAGTTAAAATATTAGAAAATATTGTGATCACAGTAGAACCCAAGGATTCATTGATTTCTTCATCATTTACAATTTTTTTTAGTTTCTGGATCACATCATTGACTTTGTCTGAAGTCAACTGCTGCCCTTCTCCCGTAAGATTCAGTAGCTGGTTGGCTATGTCAGCAGCATTTTCTGAAAGCACACAAAGAAAGCAATACATGCCAGTTAGTTTCAGAAAAAGTTCATTTCCCCCCAATTATAGCAAGTCTATCGAGGATTAGGGTGTGTATGTACTTAGTGTGTATTTTGTGTACTGGTGTAGTAGAGCTTCCAGAGTGCCATTAAAAATGATAAGATAGGAGATGGCTTTGGACAGTAGGTGAATGTACTCTGCTTTTTTGCTCACTGTTGTTTGGCTCTTTCAGATTCTGCTGGGTGTGTTTTATTTATTTTTTCATTTTCTGGGGTCCCAAAGGTGCTTTTTCAAGAGGCAACTGTACTTTCTGAAAAGTCCAGTTGCCTCTTGAAAAAGCACCTTTGGGACAACCATGACCTGGATGACTGAGAATCTCCATAGACATTTCATTCTCTGGGTTTTGGAATTCATTTGTTCTGTCTATCAGTTATAAAGCTAGTATGATTTTGGTTTTGGTTTTGTATTGTGTTATACAATTATGTTCATTGTTTATGGAACTGCTGCATGATGTACCATATTTTTTTCAAAAAAGAGGGTAAAAATCTGGGTGCGTCTTATACACTGAATACAGCATTTTAGGCCTCCTGAAACTCTGTCCCCTTTGCAAAAATGGCCATGCACAGCTTTTAGAAAGCTTCCAGAGTGCTCCTGGGGGCTATGGAGGGCAAAAATGAGCAAAAACCAGACCATTTTTTGCTCATTTTTGCCCCCCTCCATCCCCAAGAGCACTCTATAAGCCTCCTAAAGGCTATGCATGCCCTTTTTTTTTGACAAAAAAGGGCCCGTTTTCGTGAAAAATGGGACATATTTGGCCCTCCCAGCCCCCAGGAGCACTCTGGTAGCCTCCTAAAGGCTATGCATGCCCTTTTTTTGACACAAAATGGGCCCGTTTTAGCAAAAAACAGGCAGTTTTGGAGAGATCTGCAAAGTACAAAAACTTTTTTCTTTAATTTGCCTTCTCAAAATCTTGGTGCGTCTTATACTCCAGTGCATCTTATACTCCAAAAAATATGGTATATGGTAGCTCAAAGAGCTGACGACAGACATTAACTTATTGATATTAATATGCTGAATGAATGCCACAAATCAAAAGATGCTCTTTGAAGATGACAGACGAGAGGGGAAACAGGCTGTTCTGATTTGAAAACTGCTTCATTTGTATCAATAGACCTATCTTATGGGCGAGATTCTTTATCTTTAAAGCAATTTTTCTGCATGATGGGAGTCTAGTCCTAGTCAGCAGGTCTGCTACGCAAATTATTCATGTGATGCTAGGGTGAGTGGATTTTGGTCATGTTCCCATGGCCAAATGCTAAAAATGTTTCTACTTCTTCTTCAGTAGGAATAAAAGAAAAAGCCTCAACCTGATAAAATATTCTGAATAGAATTTAGATATTTATGCTATAAAAACACCATGCTGTTGTTGCTTTTTATATCTAAAATAAACATGGATTGTGCTTTAGAGTCTAACAAAACTGCATAGTTCTTCAGTTAAAGCATTAAAGGGTTTTATATCGGAGACTAATATCTAGAAAACTTTTCTTGGCAAGGCCAGATGTGTTTGAAGCTTGGAAAAGAAACATTTCAAATTTATCTAAATGGAGTGGATACACAAACTCTTACCTGTACAGTTTCTAAGATCAGGAGTACCCCAGTAAGATGTGTAATCATTCATGCTTAGAAAGCTAAGTAAAGAAAGAACAGCAAATACCATTAGCATATCCCTATATGGAAGTTCTTATGAAATCACATAGTCTACATTTTAAATCCTTTGTATCTTTTACTTCTTCACTTTTAAAAACCTAAATCTGTCACTTTTTAATTATATCCGTAATATACTTCATCTCAGTCTCACCACTAAGCATCTCATTATCTTTGAGCTGTTACCATGTTCGTGATGCAATCTGGGTAGGGTTGTCATAGCAGCTAGTGGTGGCAGTGTCTCTTGGTCCAGTTTCTTTCCAAATGTAATTCAAAGGCTGTTCCTGCTCCAAACATTTTTCTACAAGAGCAAATGAAAAGCAGTGAACCAAACAAACAACCATTAACACTGTAGCTTTCTAGTAAAAGTTACTAGACTGGTCTGAATAAATCAGGTTTAATTTTATACCAAGTTATTTTTATTTGCAAATACTTAATGGGATGAATATTTATGAAACAAAATGTACATTGCTGAATACAAATGTATTTTCCAATTAGAGGCAGAAATCATCTTGAATCAGGGAAAATTAGTATTGGTGTTTTTTTAAAAAAACCAATCTGATAATAATAATAAATCAGGAATGTATGGGTCAGAATTGAAGACCAAATGTTTCTAAATGTCCATGGATCTGAACTGTGGCTTGCCATGTGGTATTCAAAGCTTACTATGCTCCATATTGTCTCTAAGTTAGGGTATTGCTCATAATGGCCCATTTCTAGTCAAACTAACTCTAATCTGGCTTTGACCAAATTCCATTACTGTTTTGCAGTATTATTCCAGGGCCACTGTCCTAGATGTTAATTCCTTCCCAGATCAGCCACTAAATCCTTTGCATAATGTTCTTGCTTCTTGTATTTTGAATGACCGGTTGAATGTCTGAAGGAGAAACCTGTGGCATGGGTTATAAGGCAGGGTACAGAGAATAAAGGTTCAATACAAAACTTTTCTCAATTATAAACAGTCTTTACTCATTCTGTTAATGAGAATAATAAACAAGTGCAAACGGCTTCAGAAAGCTTCTGTTTCGCCATAATTTTGTTTCTGCTATATTTGTTTCTACCAGGGCTGTTAAAAGTGAACTTGAAGAACAAAATGTTTAACATCAGCCAACTGCATGCTTTGAAAATAATTTGGGAAAAGTGTTTTGGGTCCAGGGCCAGTACATCAATCTTCTGATATTCATTGAAGCATTAAAGCTGTACGTTTTTAATATGATTATTAATATAATGGCCTATTTTTCCTCACAAAGCAACCTGAAAAATGATCAACTATGAATGAATCAATGATAGAGACGTGCTGTGCTTTCAGTTGTGAATGGTCTGAACCACTTCTTGTAGACTATTTTCAAACTATGGACAGAACTAATAAATCTATTAATTTTGATTTCTCACATATTGCAACTGACTTCACTACTTTAATGTCTTCTGCTTATTTGGTTAATGTACAATAGTTAATTCCTTAAAGCATAGTAAAGTATATAAAACTATAAACTGAAACAATATTTTTTTAAAAACAGTTATTGGTTAAAACGTATTGCTCTTATACACTGATAATAATGATCAGAATAATAATATTTGCAAAGTACAAAAAATGAGAGTACAACAACAACAACAAAAAAACCCTCTGTCCTTACCAATTGAATGAACAATCACGTTATGGAGTTTCAAGTTTTCTGTGATATTACTGTTTTCGAGTTTCTTTCTAATTGTTTGTTCTTCTAAACTTACATTGTTGGTAGAATTGAAAGCTAAAAGAGCACGGACTTCAAAACTGCAAAAGAATTGCTGAATTAGAATATAGTATAACAATAAGGTATTTAAATATGATCACTGTAATTTAATATAATACATAAAAATAATCAATTAATCAACCAATCCTATTAGTGGACTCAACAATTCATCAATTTACACATGCCATATTGGAACATCCTGTTTTATTCTTATGAAATTTCTCCCCTACAGTATCACAACTAATAATAAAAAGTCTTTCTAAAAGAAGTAATCTAATATAGAACAAAAGTTGTGGTTAAAAATCATATAAAGTTAAATTAACTTATAAAGGGTAACCTGAACATAACATAAATGCATAGTTTAGCCTCACTCAGATAACATTAAGTGTCTTGATCTTATATATTCCCCTTACCCCTTTTCCCAGGGGTAAGGGGAATACATGGGGATCACAAAGAAGAATTGAAATTTCTACTTCTTTTACTTCATCCTACTTAATCTTAACTAAGATCAATGTAGCAACTAATATTAATTAGGCTCAAACAAAGCCAACAACACCAAGTTTGCTTGTTTTAGTGATCAGATAAATCAGTCAGTACCAAAGCACATAAAAGTGATATTTGATTTTGCACCATAAAACAAAACTACTGATTTTATTGCACAAAAATACTTCCTGTTGTTCTATTTAGTATTATACTTTTTAAAAATGCAGTTTTAGGAAATAGTTCTGTAGTACACTGTTAAATGTAACAGATGGTTTTGTTTGATTGGATTTGCTGTTATTTTGTTATAGGAATGGCCATTCCTTGTAGTAAGAGAGTGCAGCAAGCACGTATTTATTGAGCTGGTAAATAACATCAAAGGCAACAATACTATTTGCAAAATAAAATGGGGAGTTCAAGTACACAAAAAGGGAGTCCCTTTGTAATACATGTCTTACCCATCTGACCTAGACTTGGTCATATGGTTACATCCTAATATGAACGCTCTTTCAGGGGGAAACAGCAGCAGCAGGAACAGAATTGTGTGGCTTACTGTGATGTCAAAAATGACATGGTATCAGTTATATAGATGGCAAATATAGAGATTTTTAAAAAAAGAATCCAATGCAAATCATGATGATTTTAAAAATTATTTTCTCTGCTTTCCAATAGATGTCATTTAATTGGGAAACAGGATTACTGAGATGGAAAAATTAGATATGCAGTTACAGTAACAACTGAGAAAACATTGCATTTATTCAAAAGTTAATAATATATTAATAATGTGTTGTCACTTCACTGTTGTTCAGAGATCTTTTTACGCTTCTCCAGGTGCAAAAACAACATGTGGTTCAGGAACTAGCAAACATACCTCTGTCATCAGTGTATGATTAATGCAATCTGAACATTAAGAGCTTTTGATAACTTTAATAGAAATTACTAAGTGATGTAAGATGAACAAACCATTTGTCAAGCCATTCCAGAGTTTAATATTCTATGAGAACTGTTCCATAACTCTAGTTTGAGTAGTTCAGTTTTCAGTCTTTGAGAAAAAAAACTGTTATAACCCAGCAACAACCTGTGTTGCGTTCTAATTGGTTGGTCGAGGCGCAGCATCTGATTGGCTGGCCTCGTGACAGTTGGGCTTGACAGTTGCTTCTGGCTAGTATAAATACCCTGACAGTTGCAGGGAGAATCGAATCGCTTGTCATCTGGTACTAATAAAGATCTGTCTTGCATACATGGCTCCTGCGTGTCAATCCCTCACAACAACAACCCACACTCACACACGCGTTTTACAATACACAATACTGGCGACGAGGATGGGATTGGATTGATATGCGATTCCCGCAGGAGCCAAACAACATCAGCCAACTAGTAAGGAGCCACAGGACAGCCAGAAGCCTGTCGCTGCCTCCGTTCTCCGGGCCGTGCTG